CGGATTGGGCTAGCTCTTGTGCTTTTCCTCAGCCCAGGGTAGCTGACAGCAGTGTGAACACAAGACAGCTTTCTTCTCATCCATGGAGCCCAGGGCACAGGGAGGCCTGATAATTCGGGACAAAGAAACAGGATGGAGAAACAAAACCTAGAATTCCAGGTCAGAAGCTCAACTGGTTGTATGACTTTGGACTAGTGTAATTTCCATGAGCCTCAGTTTCTTCGACTATAAAATGGGAAGAATAATAATCAACGCATACTTTTGTCAGAAAAGGTAAATGAGGAAATGTGAATGTGTTAGGCTTTGTCAACTTCAAACATGATGGAAGTTTTGTGAAGGCATCTCATGCGCAAGGAGACGTAGGAGACCTACGTCTCTTTGAAGAACACAGACCCACACGAAAACTTGCCAGGCAGAGCGTCCCAGCATCAAGAACAAGTAATGGATCTCAGCAGCCAATTCTGGCTCCGTAAAGGAAGAGGAGGAAACTTGTGCGTTGTGCTGGGAGGTCTCTCGTTACATTCTCATCTTTGCATCTTCATTCTCTCCCTCTTGAAAGCAGAGCCTTCCGGACCCTCTGCCCATGAACTGTCGCTAACCTGATGGATAAACCATCTGAAAGTGTTTATTTTTGTGTTGGCAAGATGCCTGCAGGCTTTGGTGAACCCATGGTTGATATTTTTAATGAACGGTCTATTTTTCTCTCTTCTTAAAAGAATATGAATGAGAGTTCCTTTTGCTGGATCCAGTCAGAGCAAACCTCCAAGCCCATGCCAGGTGCCATGGGGTCCCCAGTCTGGGCCGACAAAAAAGCAGAGAGCTGGTTTTCTCACTAGGGTACAGTCTCTGGTGCCTTTGTTTTTCCCTCCCAAGGAAGAAAGAATCTTTGTTTCCTGGTTGGCTGAGTGTGGTGAGCGTCTCGGTGCTGGAGCCATAATTGGGTGCCCTGTCAAGACCCAGGCAGGTCTGCTCTCTGATCCTGCATCAAGCTAGAGACTCCTTAATTGGTTTCGTCTCTCTTAAGACAGTTTCCTCCCGCCCTCCACACTGTATCTTTTATAGAGAAGTAAAAAAAAAAAATCCTAGGGTCCTTGTTTATAATTCTCTTGGCTATCAATTTAGTTCATGCCAGGTACCATGTTATTTATAGACTTAGAGTTAGGAATGACCTCGAAAATGTCTTTAAGTTTAATTTTCAAGATCTCCCAGAATTTAAGCAGCTGTTGAACCCAAGCAGCCCGTTGAAGCACCTTGTTTTCGTACTGGTCTTATGCCCTGTCAAACAAGGAAAGGATGTAAGACCTGTTTTATAGGTGTTGACTTATTTATTTCCTATGGTCTTCCTTTTGCTTTTAAATTTTGTTTTCTTTAAGATTAGAGGGTATCCTTCGAGGCTGAAGTGAATAGAAGAGAACAGGCCCATTTGCCTAGGGATATCAGAAGTCAAGTCCAGAGGCAGCACCTTCTTTTTACCTCGAGATGGAAAACCATACCTATCTCCCTGGGGTTTTTGATTCACTCTTCACTCAGCTTCATTTTCTCAGGCCAGAATCTTTGGAAACTTAAAGTCGTACAATGCGAACTGGGGGACAAAATTATTACTAGAAATTAGTTTCTAGTGATCTATTTAAAAATCAGTTTAAATGCCATGTACCTCATTAGAAGAGTTAATGCACCTCATTAAACTGTTTAGGTGCATGAATGTGGCGTATACAAAGAAAAGACAAGGAAGGGAGAGCCTCATGCACATCATGTGCCGGCTGCTGGGGGCCATAGAGTCAAACTGTAGGATCATGTCTGTCCTCCAGGATGCTCTGGATTTGACTAGGAGTCAAGACTGGGTGGAAGACAGAAGAGCAAGAAAATAAATAAACTCATGGGGAGACAATAAAACTAATCCCAAATGTGAGCTGAGAATAGTCAGAAACCCCTCCAGGGAAGAGGTCTTGGGTGGGGGTGGGCAAAGATGCCCTGAGGTGCTGCTTGCCCAGGTCTTTGAGGGGCGAGAGCCAGGCTGAGATGGGAGCCAGGCTGCTAGGGAGAGGGTGAGTGATAATTAGCTATCAAATTTCTCTGGTATTAAAAATGGGAAAGGGAGTTTCAAAGGAACTAGGTAACTTACCTGGTGTTGCCAAACTAAGGAACAGTGTTAGAACCCTAATTCTGTCTGATGCTAAAGTCCTGCAGACCCTCCTGAGAACGTATCCATTAGGGTCTGGACAGGACCCTACCTGTCTACCTTGAAGAACATCTACAGAAAGGGCTATTCACAACAGCACAGGCACAGTGTGAAGACATCACACAAGATACCCCGGGGCTCCTACAGGTGTGGGGTTATTGTCTCTAAACCTAAGGAGCCCAGAGACAGAGCTGTGTGACCACCCCCCACCCCCCACCAGAACCAGACCTTCAGTGGAGGGGCACAGGCAGCACATGAAAGAAAGGAATAAACTCCCGACCCCACCCCATCCCCAGTTTCCTGCTGATGTCTATGGAAGTCACAGGGTCTCCGAGCTCAAGCGATACCCTCCAGCCAGGTCAGGTGAACCTCCCAAGGCACAGAACAGGGTGGAAAGCAAGACCCACAGTGGCCACCGGGAGGGCCCCAGCACAGCCTGTGCTGCTAACATATCAGTGCTTGTGGAGATCTTATAGGCACATGCGGGAATGAAGTCCCCAAGACTTGGGTTTGTGTGTGGTTGCTTTTGTTGAGAACTTGTTTCCGTCGTCACCTCTAGAAGTGGTTTCTAGGGGCCACAAAGCTGGAAAGACAAGGCCACTGTGATCAGAGGAAATCAGAACCCGACTGTCCTGGAGGTGAGCCACCTCCCTCCCCAGGCCCCTCGGGGCTCCTGCCTGGCTGTGTCAGCATATTCATGGGGCACAACCCAGAGATCTGAGTGCCTGGGCTGAAGAGAAGGGAAGCAGCCACCTGACACTGGCTCTGAGAGTCTGGTCCCGAGGGTGAGCGCTCCCTCGGCAGCCCCAGATCTTGGGGCTCTTGATTCGTAGCCTTTACAGCTGCCTCCAAGCCCCTCACCATCTGGATCCTCACATCTCTAGCCTAATCTCCAACTGCTGTCGCCCTTGTCAGCAGCTGGAAGCTCCTTGCTGACCCTGGACTCAACAACCATGCCCACTATGCCCACTATGCTCTTTCCTCAGCCTGGAATGTTCCTGTAACTCGCCACCTTCTTGTGTTTTCCGATGTCATCTCAGGAGGTTTCCCCTCACCACTCTCTTTAAACTGCACGATCCCCAAACTCCTCTGCTTTGTCTCTAATAAGCAGCATGGACTATCTTCTAATACACGGTAGAATTGGTTTTTATCTCTTAAGATTATTTATTCCAGGTTGTCACCCACTACAACAATATGAGCTCCCTGGGGGCAGGATTTATTTTTTCTGTTTTGTTCAAATTCATGTATTCCCAGTGCCTGACACAGAGAAGGCACTCAATAAGGGTCTCCCTGGTGGCACGAGGGGTTAAGATGCAACCTATGAAGCTATCCACAGCCACTACAGCACGAGTTCGATCCCCGGCCAGGGAGCTGCCCACATGGTGCAGCAGACCGCTGCTGACTCGCCCACTGCTCCCCTCAGTAGTATGTTTCAGTCAATCTGCCTGTTCCCCACTCTGTCTCTGGTGAATCCTCTCACCACCCCCACACCTCTGGTTCTTGTATGCATAAATAAATAAATAAATCTTTTTTAAATTAAAAAAGAAGGCACTCAATAAATAGTGGATGGATGGATGGATGGATGGATGGATGAAATTCTCCAGGATCTAAAAATGGTCTCACTGTTGAGAGACCCACATCGCTCTCTTCACCGGCATATATCTGCCAAGGATCTTTCCCAGAAACACTACATCGATCGTTTATTATCACTAGTACTGTCAATACTCAGTGGCCAAGGAGATCGATGTATCTGTGTGCCTCACACAGGCTCAGCAGAGGAAGTGTACTCACGACTTTGGCTCTGTGTCAAAATTAAATGGCGACCTTGGCTTACTTTGCTTCCCCGCAGAGGTTGTTTCTTCATCGTAAAGGGAACACTCTATCCTTGGGAAAAATAATATTTTTGCCACCTTCCGCTTTAAAATGGCTATTTGATATGACTCACGTGTGTCTCTGTCAGTGGCAGCTGAGAAAGGTTGTCTTGAGAGGTTCTGAGAAAGCCCCGTTGCCGTGTGGGAGAGGAGCTCATCTTAAGGTGGAATTCGTTTACCAGAACTTATTTACCTGTCCAAATCCTTCATATCACATTAAAGCTTTCCCCGCTATGCGGGACTCTGGGGTGCTAAGAGGAAAAAGGAAAATCAATTGATAATGATATATTCCGTTTAGAAAAATATATTGATTCTCAGGTAATGACAACCGTGCGTTTTTCAGCGGGGGCTGCCGTGCCCGTCGAGGGGGTGGCGCTCACATAGATTATGTTTGGAAGAGGGAGCGAGGAAGAGCCCTACCTCCCCGTGATAGATGGCCTCTTTCTGCTAGGTATTAAATCTATATATTTTTTTAAAATTTTCTCCAGAGAACCATTCCTTGCCTCCTCAAGGTCTTCCTGCCCATTGTCTGAAAGAAGTAATGGTTTGTTTTTGTAATTCTAGAGTTCGTGTCCTTTTTTCTTTTCGACGTTAGATTAAAGACTTAAATTTCTTTTTTGTCCCCATCTCTGGACTTCCATGGTCTGGCTGAGCTAGAAGGGGGTGCCACTGTGGTCTCCCTCATCCCCTGCTCGTGGCCACCGTGGGGCCTAGGGCTTTGTGTTTGAAGGGTGGTGGGGAGCTAGTGTCTGCCCCATGGTCTTCTCTGCCGCCTACTTGGCCACCCTTATCTCGGGGCTCCCTGGCACAGTTCGGGCCAGTCGTAATCAGAGATCCAAGGTGGAGACAAGCTTCCGCTCAGAGTGGGTGCCATGATGCTGCAATTTCAGAGATGTTTTCACAAAGGTGATTAACTTTTCCCTACCCCATCCTCTCCCCTCTCTTTCTAGACTGGCTGGCCTCCCGGTGATGCTGTCCCTGCGCTGAGTGTTGGTGGCCATCGAGGGCTTTGCATCCTGGGGACTAATCCTGAGCTGGCCAGAGACGGACGGTGCAAGGTAGGCCTCTGATCAGCTCACCTGGAAATAAGAGCGGCATCAGGCTGGACACAGCCAGCTCTGCTCTGCCACGGTGTTCTTCGGGGAATAAGGAAAATTCAGCTGGCCCTTCTTTGTACCCTTGACTGGTGCCCATAGCCTACCTAAGCCTCACCCTCCTCATGTTCCTATAAGCATTGCTATGACTTCTCCCAGGTTCCCCAGGTTGGACCTGGGAGCCACCAGCAACAGGGTGACCTTTATCCTCAAAAACTCTGAATGTTTTCGGCACTTTAACTTTTTAGTTAGTGGAATACTATGATTAAATGTTTATTGTAAAAAAAATTTTTAAATAGCAAATTAAATTATATAACCGTGAGCAGTGAGCATTTTAGTCTCCTTCCAGGTTATTTCCTGTGCACATATAGGTACACACACACACATACACACACACACTATGAACACATACACACACACACACACTATGAACACACATACTGCTTGGTTATGTCTTATTCTGACTTCACAGTGTATCCAGGTATCTTTTTAGGTGAGTGAATGCACATCTGTAGCATTCTTAGAAGCTTTATGTCCTATGGTTACAATAATCTATAAAATTTACTTAACCAGTGACCTAATGAAGGACATTTAGCATATTTTTACTATTTCACTTGCACAAACAACACCAGAACAAACATTTTTGCCTATGTAGCTTTGCATAGTCGTGTGATTTTTCCCTTCAATTAAATCTATAGAGATCTGGCCTACAATTCTGACTCAGGATTCGCCAACCTAAATTATCGAGACAAAACAGCTGGGGTTGGCAGGGGGAGACGTCGCCTACCTTGTGAGAGCAGAAATTTTATGAAAAGAATCTGCAAGATTGCGCTCACGCCCACCCGGCAGGCCAGGAATGTGCCTGCAGAAGCAGGAGGGCCTGGGGCTGAGTTGTCCACCCTCACACCACGCGCTGCTGCTCAAAGGGCAGAGCCAGGCCTGGAATGAAGGTGGGTAGCTGGCATGCAGGCTAGCTGATTGTGCTCACACCCAAAATGGCCAAGCCTCAAACGTCTCTGTGGCACTTGAGCCTAGGGCACGTGGAAACAGAGTGGGGCTGAGTTAAAGATCATGGCAGGAGGGAGAAGGAGTGACAATTCTCAGGTCACTCCCACCTGAACCCCAGACCCTAAACTTTCTGATCTTTGGTCATACCTTGGGCGGGTTGTTTAATCTCTCTGAACTGCAGCGCAGGCCGCAGGAATGGGAACAGCGCAGCGCCCACTTCCACAGGGTTGCGTGGAGGAGCAAGTCACTTAGCAAAGCCCTGGCACTGGGTCCACATCAGATCCATCCTTGTCATTCCAGAGACCAAGCCTGACACGGGGCGAGGAGGGCCCTGCTCAAGAAGGTTGTTCTGCACCTCGCCTGCGCCCAGCCTTGTTCTAAATGGATTATTGTTTATTGGCGGCTTAGCCCATCTCTTGGGTCATGAATTATTTACCAGATAATGACTTCATCATTGTTAATGACAGATGCCCCAAGGACATGCTGACATGCCTTCTGAAGCCACTGTGCTAACTGGTAGCGTCCCAGAAGACCCCTTGGGGCACATCACTCCTAGCAACAGAGCGGGGTGGGCCTTGGGGGTCAGCTGTAAATCCAGGCCCCTCGTGATCCAGATGAAGAGGCAGATCCCCTCCAGGACATTCTCTGCTCCCAGAACCAGCCGGTGACAGCCCCAACGGGACGCACCCAGCGTCTCTGATGGCCACTGTCCGCTGACCAGGTTTAGGTTGCTGGGTGGTTGTGAGTGGAGCAGGAGTCCAGGCCCCCTTCAGGGGTGAAGGGGTGCACAGCAAATGACATGGGGCAGGTACTGGGAGAGTCCCCAGCAGAAGTGAGTAATAAGGGCCCACAGATCCTCGGCCATAGAACATCAGGATGTAGCCTGGCGGCCGTCTGGGACCCCGGGCAGGCAGGGTGGCTGGCCCGTGGGAACAGAAGCCTCCCCTGACGGGATGTACCCAGCGGCCAGCGCTGTGGAGGACGCGCCTAGCGGAGGGCAGGAGGTGGGTGCAAATCTACACCTGCCTTGAAAGGTACGTGTGGTCCCGAAGGCAGTGGGGATTAAGTGTGTGACCAACTGGGGTTCTGGTCCCTAAGGATAATAATAATGAAGCTAAGTATAGGACGACATCGCCTCCACTATTCTAACAGCTGTGTTACAGTTAACTCAGCTAGGCTTTAGAACCGCCATATGAGGTGGGTGTTATTATAATCACTATTTTGCAGATGAAGAAACTGAGGCATGGGGAGGTCCGATAACGTGCTAGAAATCACATGTTACTGTAACTTCCAATAGGGACTGGGCTGGGATTTGGACCCGGCCGCCTGGCTCTGTCTGTGCTTTCCAACACTCCCCGCGCTGCTTGTTTCTGAACGCGCGGGTGAACGCATGCTGTGAGTGCCCTTTGAATAGGGAACACCTTTCTGAACATGGTCTGAGTGTGTCCAGCCAGCTGGAGAGTCCTATTGCCCTCATGGACCGTGGGCTGTGCTTAGGACAGGCAGAAAGGAGAGGCCTGGTCTGGGGTGCTCTGTGTCCCTGGGAGCAGAGGTCTGAAGGGTGGGCTCTGTGCCCTCACCATGCGCTGCCCTGACAGGTCTGGCTGGCCCCTGAGCACACAGGTGGTTTGGGTTAAACGAGGTGCTTCTGATTGATGCACCCACACCAGTCACTCACCCCAAAAACGTTCGAGAGCCTTCTTCCTGCCGGACTTGGGGAGGGCCCCAATGACTGAGACAGCCCCTTGTTTGGGGGGCCCCAGCTATCTCGCAAGGCAGAGCAGAAAGCAGGCAGACCTCCTGTGGGAGGGCTCAGTGAGAAAAGAGAAGCATAGGGCTGGGAGCACAGGGCTGGGAGCACAGCTGGGCACCGTGTGCCTGATTTCCTGGCATCAGCTCCTTTTTGGGGTTTTAATGTATTCATCTCTGCAGCACTGCTCTCCCGAGCCCAGCAAACTCACAGTGGTTGGGGCACAAGACCCCAGCACTCTGAACAGGGACAGCACCACATGTGACCCAAGAAGAGCCGACAGGTGTAGGGGGTGTGTGCAACAATGTCCAGAAATCAGAGGAGAGAAAATTCCTATGGGTTGGTGGCCTGGAAGCACATGGTCAGCGGATGGGTAGGGATAGGAGAGGTTCTTCCAGGAGGGGACTGAGGCTTAGCAGGTTGGGTATCCGGAGGGGGTGGGATGCAAACATACAGGGTAGATTAGGGGAAGCAGATCAGTCTGCGTGGAGCAGAAACCTGCATGTGTGCATGTGTGTGATGCATGTGCAGTACATGTGTGTGTACAACCTGCATGTGCATGTATGTGTGTTCGGGTGGAGGTCCCAGGAGGTGAGTTTGCCTAGCTGGTACGGGATCAGATTCACTTTTCCCAATTCACAAAGTCAGTAGCTGCCTCTCGGTGTGTGCCTAGCAAGATGCCAGAGCACTTTGAATGCATTTTAGAAAGTCTCGAACTGGTGCTAAATAAATAATCGCACTGTTTATTCTGGGATGGAGAGGTAGGATGCCTCCTCTCTGCGCTGATGGGAGGGCGAGGCTCGCGCTGGCTGCGGGGACTGCCACGCACACATCTGCAAGCGCTGAGCTGAGAAGGGACCCGGGCCCACCCTCTCTGTGCCTGGCTGTCATGCCGGCTTCCAGCACCTGCCTGTGTACCTGAAGAAGGGGGGCCAGGTTAATTGTCACTCCTGCGCTGTTACTAGGTTACTTTGTAAAATATGCTTTTAATGATTTTTGTTGTTGGTGCTGCCTTACGAACCAGAGGCTTTTATCTAAATGAGTTGCTACAAATCAAAAGAAGGGCCCGAGAGGGTTGCTAGGCTGCGTCTGTCTTAGCCAGGCGGCTCCAGCTCTGTGAATGAGGTTTAAATCTCCCCCATTCTTTCAGCAGCCAGCTCACTTACAAGTAAGAGTAAAATATGTATCGACAGCTGTAATTAATGAGCCTCTGAGTGGCTGGACACGAGGACTCGCGGAGTGAGTGGAGAGCTCTCCAGGCCGCCCGGGAGCCTGTCCATTCCCTGTTCCTGCACGAGTCTGAGCGGGTGGGACCGCCTGGCCTGACCCTTGAGGCCTCTTGAGCCATGCTGGGCGGGAGGAAGGGCAACTCACACACCTTCCGTTTCCTTCCCAGGTGGGGTCAGGACTCCATGGAGGCCTAGAGCTGGGTGTCTCAGTGCTGGACTTGACACGTAGTAGGTGTTCATCTGACGTTTGTAGAAGACAGAGAGGCACAAGAGTGACACTCGCCAGAGCCTTTGGCCTTCACTAGAGGAAAGGCAGGGACATGGAGGCGGGAGGGGGCTTTGGATTAGGAAGCAGGAGGTGAGGACTCTGGTTCCCGTTGGCTATGTGGCCTCAGGCAGGACGCACGGCCTCTCTGGGCCTCCGTTTGCTCCTTAGTATCATATAGCGGCAGCAATCTTCCCTGCTGTCTACCTCTTATGGGCCCCCTGGTGACCCAGTAGAGGGATTATGTGAGGACACTTGGAAAACGAAAAGCATGAGGTCGTGAGGAGAGGGACAGTCCATTGCATGACCTTAGCTGGGGGTTCAGACAAAGTGGGGCTGGGGCGCTGGCTGCACATGGCACGAGGCTGCCGGAGTCTCTGTCTGGGGGTCAGGGCGTACACGGGAGCTTGTCTGTAAGAGACTCTTCAAGCCGCCCACGTCTGTCTGAGAGGGTAATTCCAGGAGCTTCCCGTCAGTCAGCGCCCATCACAGCAAGACCTGCCCAGCCTCACAAGCCATCTAGGTCCCCACAGCACTTGTGTTTTGCTCTCTGCTGTCTTGATATCTTCAGGCTTTTCCCAAGCCGTTCCCATGCCCTGGAGTGTTACACACACACACACACACACACTCACACACACACACACACACACACACATACACTGCAAATTCCAGCTTGAAGTCACCTCTTCTTTGAAGTCTGTGCTTTTGACCA